ATCGCTAACAGATGGCGCTAATAGCACGTACAGAAGTCAGTTCCTATGACACTGTTGTGAAATAAAATAGTGCGTACCTCCTTAAAACGTGTTTGTGCGTGTTTAAGTTTAAGACATCTTTGTAACAGTATTTTGATTTGAATTGTTGCTTTTGTGTGTGATTTAGTAGTATGGAAAAAGCGAAAAATTGATAGTGAATGCAGAAAATTCAAAGATCAGTGGAACATTCAGTATTTCGTAATTGAGTCCAGTAACAAGGCGCTAGGTTGATTTGCAATGAAAGCATAGCCGTTCTCAAAGAATATAACATTAAATGTCATTATGAATGAAACATTTTCAAAATTACTCAAAATATACAGGAAAGTTTGCGGACAGAAAAATTCGAAGCTATGAAGCGCGGATTGAAATCGCAGCAATCTTCATTTACAAAACTCAAAACTGAACAAGAGGCTGCAACTCATGCCAGCTTTCGTGTGGCTCTTGAAGTCGCAAAACATGAAAAATCATTCACCGATGGAGAAATTATCAAAGAATGGGTAATTGCAGTAGCCGAAGAAATATGCCCTGAAAAGGTAAATTTATTAAAAACTGTCAGTATGTCAGCAAACACTGTGGTTTCGCTAAGGGTAGAAAACATCGCTGAAAATATATCCTCTCAACTGTTCGACAAAAATGGACATGTTGAGTGGTTTTCTTTGGCTTGGATGAGTCAACGGATGTGTCAGATACTGCTCAGGTGTTGATTTATATTCGAGGAGTAGATAAAAGCTATGAAGTGCATGAAGAACTTCTTGATATGTATAGTATTCATGGCACAACTACTGGTACAGATTTTTTAAAGGAGTTGAAATGGCCATTAATCAAAAGAACCTTCGATGGAAAAACTTGAAATGTATTACAACTGATGGAGGCAAAAACATGATGGGAAAGATAAAGGAGTGGTCGCTCTTGTGTCAAAGGCTGTAGAAAATGACGGTGGTTCAAAACCATTAGTCTTACATTGTATCATTTCATCAACAGTCTTTGTGCGGAAAAATGTTTGGATATGTGTCTGAAGTTCTGAAACCAGTCAATATCAACTGTTAATTTTATCAGATCTTTTGGGCTGAATCACCGACAATTCCGACAATTTATTGAAGAGATTGGAGAAAATGACTTACCTTATCATACTGCCGTACGTTGGCTTAGTTGGGGAAAGTCCTTCAGCGCTTTTTTGAACTTCGAGCAGTGATCGAAATTTTTTTGAATGAAAAGCATCGCCCCTCTACTGAATTACAAACAACGCATGGCTGTGGAAGTTAGCATTCTATGTTGATTTGACAAACATGTGAACGAATGAATTTGAGATTGCAAGGAGAAAACCCAGCATCTTCCTGATTTATACACTAATATCAAATCATTCCGGAAGAAAATTGATACTGTTTCAATCACAACTACGAAGTAAATGTTTTTCACATTTTAAAACATGTGAAATATCCACACCACTGAGACTGAGTTTCCTATCGATTTTGCAATCGAAACTTTGATGCTTTTGAAAATAAATTTTGATACTCGTTTCTCGGACTTTGATGCCATTGCGAATCAAATTAAGATTTTTCAGAATCCTTTTGATACTGACATTGAAACCCTAGCCCCGGAACTTCAAATGGAAATGATTGATCTACAGTGCAGTGATATAATAAGAACAAATATCAAAACTCATCTTTGTTGGAATTTTATAAGAGTCTTCCACTGACACAATTTGATAATTGACATAAATTTGCTCGTGGGCTGTTTTTCTGTTTTGGTACTACTTATTTGTGTGAGAAGACCTTCTCCAAAGTGAAGTACACAAAGAAATGTTTACAGATCTAAATTAACTGATGAGCATCTTAAATCTCTTTTAATAATTGGTACAAGTAAATTATAGTCCACAACTACAAACTATTGTCAGTGGAAAATCTCAATTACATAAATCTCATTAGTATTTCATATGTCATTATGCTTGTTATAAGTTATGTTTTTTTTATTTAAATGCATAAAATGTTAGTTTTGGATTCATTTCAATAATTTGTTAGTTATTATATACTGAAGTTAAATTTTCTGCATATTATACATGTCTTTACTCATTACAATTCTGTGTTTCTTTATCCAACTTATCACAAAAAAACAATAACATAAGCCTACAACAATGTTATGAGTAGTTAGCCCATGACCATATCAATGTAGATGTCATATTAATAATTATTCAACATAAAATTAGAATACTTCAGTAAACTAAATTTAATTTGCTATAAAAAATATGTTCTCTAAAAGGAGTTTTCAAGTATGCTAGCTCTCCGCGGGCCGGATGTGGCCCTCGGGCCGTAGTTTGGAGACCCCTGGACTAGAAAGTCGAAAGTTTTCTCCTACTCACCACTTTATCTTCCTTATATGTTATATTTTTCTGCACTAATTTCCAAAATATCGACTTCTTCCTTCTCGATATCGCATAAGTTTTCAGATCGACCAACACTTTTACTTACTGATTTAAATTCACTGTCAGTTTCTACTAATTCAAATGCCGCATTCTTTCTTTTTTGGATCTCTACTATCGGCAAGTGAGAATCTCCAAGTTACTTCCCATCACTTTCTGAGCTGCTTTACTATCCATACGATCTACATATCTTCCATGGTACTTAATACATAGAGTCTTGAAAATCATGCAGTGTATTAAATGGTTTAATCCCATCACGTTTCTGCTCTGCAGAGTCTATAGTACTTATCACATCTTAAACCCACATATTTAAGATATTCGTATTTATATTTCTCATATTATTATTTAAGTGGCAAATATATTTACATTTCTTTTTCTCTGACGTCTAGGAAATTTTTTTGCTAATGTCCAGCCTAATTTAGATTTCATGTGAATTATGACTTATTTTTAGTTCTTTTTCTTACACGTGTAAAATGCTTTCCTATAACGTCTGATAAGATTAATATTTCAAAAAAACCTGTGTCATTCTGCATGTAACTTGTAATAATAGTAGAAGTTTCCAAATCCAGGGTCCATAACTGTATTGAAGAGCTGTCACCATAAATCACTTTTTGATCTAACACTTCCAGATTGCAAATATACTTAGTATCAAAACTGCATAAATAAATCATGTAAAACTAATGTTTAGATTCATTTTTTATACTTTCCTTCGAAATTAAGAATCTTATACAATTTCTTTTTTAAATGGACAGCAATTCATATTTTAAGCTCAAGACTTTAAAGTACATGATTTCTGTGATCCCATATCAATCAGCTTACGAGTATACCATTTCACCGTCTTAATACACTTAAACGTTTGCTTCTTAGTTTTCTTCCAAAGATAACATTTTTCCTCTGAAACTGGCTTAAGAAGTTTTTCTTTCCCCCTTTCACTACATGTCAAGACCTATTTAGAAACTTTCTTTTTTTGTGGGTCTCAAAAGGGTGACTTTATAATATTTATACATAGCACTGCTCTAGCCGAAGTATTTTTTAACACAAATTCGGACTTTTTCTGAAATGACGTGTCTATTTTTTCCATATTCAATTCTACGATTCAAATTATTTCTAAATATTTAATTTGGTAAAATTTGGCGAGACTCTTACCCAGAAATTAAAAAACATATCTTGGCCCTCGTTTTTAAGTCTTCTCCAAGAATAATTTCCATTCTTAAATTATGGTAACCTATTTTCCTTTCCCTTTCACTGCACACGAGCGGGAAAAAAGTGCTCCATTCATTCTTCAAATAGTTTTAACAAAGTGCGTAAACCATATCTGGGTTATTATCGCTTATCAAAAACACGCCACATTTCAGAACGTGCCAATAAATAAATTCATATGTATCTTGGGAAATTTTGAATAAAAAAATCTAGTGTTTTGTAGGTATGCCAAGAAACATGTGTATTTTAAATGGATGATAAAAAAATTTATAAACTTACAGAAGTTTTCGAAAACCTGGAAAAACAACAAAAAAATACAAGTTTTAAAAATATATTTGAAAATATTTGCGAATTTGACTTGGCTTCAATTTTATTTTTGAACTGTAAAAGAAGAAATCAAGTAAGTTCAATAAAAAAGAGATGTTACTAAATATACACCAAATTCAAATAACACTGAGGAGCTAAAATTTTGAAAGCTAATTTTTAAAAACTACTCGTGCAATTTTTTTAGCTTAACTTGAGTCGTAGAATCAAAATATGAAAAAGAAATCGATATATCGTTTCAGAAAATGTCTGATTTGGGACCAAAGTACCTATATTTTAATAATGCTATATATAAATCTGATATATATATTATCAGGTTCAATGTTCCGTCTTACTTTCTTCGGGAACATGCAAGGACCTGACTCGGAACAGAGAGCTTACTAAAGCTATGGTTCAATAACTGTGGGAAGTAGACAGGATACACAAGAAGGGTATACAAAACCCTTTTATTTTCTCTATTTACAATAACTTCCGTACTTCGGAATACAAAACCCACTACTTGTGGTCTAACGTAAAAATAAAAATAAACTAAACTCTAATTTAACTTTAAAAATAATAACGTGGAAGATTGGCCTTATATTAACAGGAAAAGCCGTATGTAGTACAGAGAACTGTGAACACTACATACGTTTAAAGTTATCAAGAGGATTAAACCTCTGGCCTGGAAGCCAACCACAACTGAGTAAAACTCCTAAGGTAAGCGGCCTGCTTCGACTAACTGCTTCCTCTCTCTCGCTTGGCAAAAAGCCACAACTTAAATACTTGGCGCTCGCCAGACAACTTTGGCATAAATACGTTAACGCTTATAAATTCTGGCCGGAAGTAGAAAATAAGAAGTGATAGTAAGATTTAAAATAAAAATAAACGTTAGTAAAACTTAAGATCCTTACATACTTCCCGCCAGAGTTAATTAGTTTTTGAAACTGAGGTCTTAAAACGACCTTGTTGAAACTTTTAGCTCTAGAATCTAACGCGAGGCCAACTTTTACAAACATTTTTCGCTAGAAACTAGAAATTTTAAAAAAGAGAAATTTGTTTTTTTTACAATAGCAGCTCCCAGGACACGCAGTTGTTTCATCTGTACTGCATCTAAAACAGGAGCTTTTATTCAAATCTGGTTCCTTCCAGAGATCTGGAAGGAAAACTAGTTTAATGAAATGTTAAAAAATGAAATGGCAAGTAACATGTATAATTATATTTCTCTTAACATTCTTATTTCATTCATGACTATTTTAATTATCTCTCCCCGTGCTCTCTGACATGTGTTGTAAAAGAACCCCAAACACGAATGTGTTTATGTCTACGTGTTCAACACTTCCTCCTACAATCAAAGCACTAACGTGTTAAAAATTCAACATACCAAGACCTCGTAACACACCTTATATTCATCTCTAAACCCTGAGGTACTATTCTGAAAGTGGCTAATTTTGAAGTGTAGCATCAGAGAGCCTAACTACATTCATTTAACCTTTAACACATATTCACAATAATTTGCTCTTTTTACAGTCACGTGAATAAGTTAAAATTTTTGGCATTACTTTCACTTTTAACATATCACAGTATTTCTTAACGTTTAAAATAACAGTTCACATT